TTTAAAAAAAAAAAAAAAAAAAATCCTACGGAAAAACAGGTGAAGTATTCACCGGTTTTCATTAAAAAAAAAATTTCTAAGGAGAAACAAAAAAAGGTAAAAATATAACTTTTTAGTATATTTTTTATTATTTTAATTATAACTGTTTTATAATATATATATATATATATATATAATTTAATTTTGCATATTAAGTAATTAAAATTATATTCTAAAAGAATATTTTATTTATAAATAGTAAAACTAACACCTCTAGATTCTATTTATACTCGTTGACTTCGAAAGCAGTATCTAGCATTTGAGGATAACATTGAGCTTCGACTCTCACCTTAAAAAAAAAGGCTAATGCATATAATTATCTCAACAAAATGTTAACTGTTTTGAGATCTTGTAGATGTGATTAACTTAGAGTATTAGATTGCTACTGAATCAGGGCTTAGATAACTATCATAAATATCCTTAAATCATAATTTTATCTATAAAATTTTAAACTCTAATTAGATAAAAAATTAATTAGCATAAGATATAGTCTAATTATTTATTAAAAGATTAAACACAAGAAATTTTGTTGGTCAAATTAAGTTATAAATAATAAAAAATTAGTTTATGTTAATATATATTTTTAATTAATTATTTAAGTAATATTACTCATTAGGATTTGTTATAATATTTAACTCTACCTCAACAGGCGCCAAAAACCCTAGTCATCTCCCCGCTTCCGCTCCCTCACAAATTCCTTGAACCCCCGACGACATAGAACCGAGGAAGACGCGGCGGGAGCTCGCCGGAGAAGGCTTCGACGGGACCGGCGGCATGTTAGGGAGAAAAGGAGTTTGTGTATACTGTTCACGGTTTTAAGTTAAATCCATTGAATCCCCGGATTTAGTTAATTGCACGCGTCGCTTCTTCGGCTCCTTCGACGACTTTCCCTTGCTGTCGGATTGGAAGTTACGAAATTTTGTTCGGAAGCAAGAACGGGAGCTCGCTGGCTGTGAAGGTAACTTTCTCCTTTCGCGCGCTTCTTCGGCTAAATCCCGTTAAATCCGCCGAACCGAGGGATTTAGTAAATCCGGGATTTAACGCGCGCACAAAAACCGTTTGGCTGGATTTGACGTAAGTCCGACTTAAATCCCACGATAAATCCGATACCAAACAGCCCCTTAAAGTAAAATTGGGGAGAAACGGGATGAACTTAAATTTTAGTTTTTTTTTTTTTATACCGTTTGGCAAGATTTAAGTTTAATCTTGCTTAAATCCTGCTGCCAAACAGCCCTTTTCATCCCTTTTGGCGACTTCGCACGCTGTTCTGCCTTCATCTTGCTAGCTCTGGTCCTCATCCATGGCACCACGCGACGACAAGAGACATCAGAAAAGCAAGAGAGCGCATGCCAAATCTAAACTCCAGAATCCCTTGAAGAGACCCAAATCAGAGTTCAAAAGGTCTAAGCACGAGCAGCCCGCCTCCGTTCTCTTTCAGGACCAGGACGATGAGCCAGAATTCCCGAGAGGTTTCTCTTCCCCTTGTTCATCTTTCTAAAGTGAAAAAAATAGGAGTAATTTTCTTAAGACGATTTTCAATTATCTCATATTGTTAGTTGTTTCCTATTTTGGGTGCAGGTGGGGGAAGAGTTTTGAGCCGGGAAGAGGTGGCAGAAGCTCGTGCAGAAGCTGAGGAAGAATTTGAGAGGGAACAAGGCCTGGCAAGCAGAGGCAGGAAACAACAAAAGAAGAAGGCGACGGTGAAGAGTTATAAATTTGGTGAAGATGAGTGGGGGTCTCTGTTCGGTCAAGGCATCACTGGGAAGCTTCCAAGGTTGACAAACAGAATCACTTGGAAGGTATGTGGCATCTATGCCATATTTTCTATTTGGATATTCAATGACATGTTGAATTTTTGTAGTTGGGCTGTTCATTTTAATTAGAAAATGCTTTAAGGGTCTGTTTAACTTGAAGAAATATTGGGAAATGCAAAAGCATGTAAATTAATTATTTCATATTTAGTGTTTTTTCCAGCTTAGATAGCAGAAATTATAATTGTCTAAGATCTACAAACAAATGGAGTTTTTCATTGACAATTTTCTATTCAACACCAGCAAAAATTGCGAAGAAAACTTTATTGGGTCATCTGTATGGCTTGGATTCCTGCTGCTTACAAGAAGCGAAATCCCAATTTCTCATAAACCAAACAAGATGAAATTTGTTTATACATCCTCATTTTTATTTGTACTTGTTAAGTGCCGCTTGGGGTGTTGAACCAATTATTCAAGAATCTTTTTGAATAACTTCTGCGCATGTTACCGTAGGTCCTCCTTTTTCCTTCTTAATTTTCTAATGCTAATTTTATTAACTTTTCTAAGGAGGGTATTTTCCTCCCTTCATTGTACATGGTCCAAACTATCCAAGTCTAATTTCAGTTATCTTATCTCCAATATAGATAACTCCAACTTTCCTGTCATATAATCATTCATGAAGCTATCATTTCTACTTTTTCTCTATTAATCCCCTATTTAAATCTCTATTTTGCTATTTCAAGTTTTGTACTCTTCAATCACTTGTTGCTGATAGTATCTTTTATGTTCTAAAAATAAAAACAATGCATCACCTAGCATACCTCTCTTAGTTAGTTGCCAATCATAATGATAAAGTTTAAGAAGATCACAATAGCATTTTAGCTTGGTAAAGACCAAATATTCTGATAGGAAGTGGATACAATGTCCTTGAAATTAGCGAACAACAATAAGAAATTAGGAAGAAGAACACACCAAAATCATTTTACTGCAAGATATATGAAAGAAAATATTGAGATACAGTTGAATCTTCAATTGAAGAGGAAGATCCGACTCTCCTGAATCCCTAGCCAACGGCTAGAGCCTCACAACCTGAGAAAATATAATTTCAGCAAATTCAAAACATAATACTGAAATCACCATATTGTTAGCCTTAAATAGGCTCCCCAAATTCTCTCCCTCCCAAATCAACTATCTTTCCTTAAATAATACCCTCTTGTATTTGAATTCAAATTGGTGAAATAGATGGGCGATTGTATGGAGTGTAATTTTAGCAGTAATAGTCCTAGTGAGGGGATTGTGACTTTGGGCGATCAAGTCATTAATAAGAGTACACGTTTTAGGTATCTTGGATCTATTGTTCAGAGTGATGGTGAAATAGATGGGGATATTATCAGCAGAATTCAAGTTGGATGGTTGAAGTGGCGGAATGCATCGGGCTTGTTATGTGATAGAAATGTACCCCTCAAACTTAAGGGAAAATTCTATAAGATGGTAGTGAGGCCTGCAATGCTTTATGGTGCCGAATGTTGGCCATTAAAAGAGAAGCATAATACTAAGTTAAGTGTGGCAGAGATGAGGATGCTTAGATGGATGAGTGGCTTTACCCTTAGAGATAGGATACGAAATGAGCATATACGTGAAAAGGTTGGAGTAGCTCCAGTAGAAGATAAGATTAGAGAGAGTCGCCTTAGATGGTTTGGTCACATAAAAAGGCGGCCTTCCGACGACCCAGTTAAGAGAGTAGAGGTATTAGATTTGACTTGTGTTAAGAAAGGTAGGGGTAGACCTAAAAAGACTTGGTTAGAAAATATTAGGAATGACCTTTCTTTATTAGATTTAAACGAGAATTTGGCTTTTAATAGGACACAATGGAGAAAAAGGATTCATGTAGCCGACCCCACGTAGTGGGATAAAGGCTTGATGTTGTTGTTGTTGTTGTTGTATTTGAATTCAAATTGGATTTGTTGCCCTAAATAATTTTCTCCTAATTATAATTAAAAATTTCCTATAAAATTTTCCTTTGACTAAGAACCTTCCTAGGAAACTTTCTAATTCCCTCCAAATCAGATCAGCTAGTCCATATTTTAGAGAGATTCGGGAATGTGAAACACTTACCTCTCAGGATGAGACACCCACCGCTTCCTTTTTCACGTTCATTCACCTCTTCTAATTTTGCCCTCTTTTACTTCATTTTAGATATTTGAAAGAAGGGGATAAAATAAATTTTTGTAAGATGCAGGAAGAAAAAACGGTAATAATTTATTTTGAAATAAGAATAAATAGTGGATGGAAAATGAGTGTCAAAGAGCCAAAGACAAATAATTTTTAATGAGTGAAAGGAAAAATGGGTGTTCCATGAATATTGATCAAGTCTAAATATTTACCCAGGGAAAAAAACTGATGAAATAAAAAGAAGATGCTAAGGGGCACTTGGTTTCTTGCATTTAGAAAGCGTGTTTTAGAAAATGAAATTAGCACATTTTGAGGTTTTTGATGGCGCTTGTAGAGTTCAAATAAATTTTGATTTCTAAGTGACCAAATGATGGAATCTAATAAATTAAATATTTTTCCATCTTGAAAATGCTTTTACTGTCTTCTATTTTTGCATTATTTGTAGCATAATATACCTTAAATCTGTATTTATTTCATTGTTCGGAGCTTGTTATTGGTGATATGGATTATGAATTATGATATTACCATGCTTATTACTCTAAACGCACGCATAATACCTGCAAATAATGCAAAATGATGAAGAAAACATGAAATCTTCTTTGAAGCCACCTAGGGAATGTCATGCTCGGACCTGGCTGCTATTTTTAATGACATTTGGTATGAAATACATTCACCTTGATTGTGTGCATGAGGTTTCAAGGGCCTATTAGATCCATCAAGATCATCTGGAATGCTCAGTCATTACCATTAAGTGATACTCAATCCATACCTATGAAGCTAAGATCCTATGAGCCTTTTAAGCTATTTTTATTTCTGGAATTCCTTTTACTTGAGAAAGGCCAGGTTTCTGTGGGGAATTATAGAAAAATATGAGAATTATGAAGCTTCAAATCAGACTTTCTAAATAAAGAAGATTCTGAACTAAATTAATGAAAGAGTTCATTGAGTAGTTGTGTGATTAAGTAGATCCGTGTATCTTTTTTCACTTTCATTACAGCTTCTTAAGAATCTGAACTAGAAATAAGAAGTGTGCATTATGAGTACTTTATTTGTTTAGGCAGGTTTATAACAAGTGTCTTGTACCATTCATCCTTTTAGCTATTTTTACTGAAGTCTGATCTTGATGTTGATATACATAACTGTACAATTATTGCCCAACACTATGCTTTTTGAGTTGAATGATTTTTTGAATAGCTAGGTATTATCGCTCTTCTAACTCCTCATTTTGCATCATCTCTACATAGAATATTTCTCCAGGAATGAAATTGTGGGGCGTGATTACTGAAGTGAATTTGAAAGATCTTGTAATCAGTTTACCAGGTGGGCTAAGAGGCTTTGTTCATGCTGAAGATGCTTCTGATGTACTTGCTGAAAATGGGGATAAGGTAAGTGGCAGCCTGCATTAGTTGTATTTTTGAATATGAAAGCTCCTGTCAGGATATGCATTCTTTTTTGTTTGCAAATGAATTTGTTAGATGCTATATTTTCTAATCCATACTTGAAGTAGTTTCATGTCACAACATGCTCCAGCTTTTAGATATTAATATAAAAATAATATTCAAAATTTTGTTGTGGAAACCAGTATATTCAAGCAACCTGATTGCAATATAACAGTTTCAATTTGTTTAACCTTCAAAGTTTCATCATTAAAAAAAATTCTCATTATCATTGTCTTTTCTACTCATTGCAAGTTTTGTCTTGTATGTAAAATATAAATTAATTAATTTTCACGAAAATATAGCTATCTTTTATTCTGCAAAACAGGTTTTGGCTGACAACAGATTTCCTTTAAAAAAAAAAAATATTTTTAAGTACAACAGTTTCCATTTTCCTTCCTTATATGTTTCCTTTTAAAAGCTTTATACTTGTCCCTGGACATGATTTTTATACTGTAAGATACTGTGCCTATATCCAAATCTTATTATCTTAGGCTTCGTTTAAGAATGTGCTGCTAAACCCTTGCCCTTCATATTTTTTTTTTGTGTGGGAAAAATCTTATGAAAATCCTACCCTATGTGCGCATTGGGAACACACTAGCTGATCAACTCTTCTATCTCTGTAATAATGGTGTCATTATTGAACATAGTGCAACGAAATACAACATTACAAACAAGCCTTAATTGACACATTTCTATGATCTATAATTTGCTATGATATGCCATGGAGAATGGCAACCATATTTCTATACTTTCTTAATTGTTCTAATCAATTTGCTTAAGATGTGCCATTATGATTAACTTTTTTTTTTCTCACAGGTGTCATTTTCTAAAACATTGCATGTAGGGCAACTCGTTTCCTGTGTAGTTATGCAAGTTGATGATGAGAAGGGAGATGAAAAAGGTAGAAAAAGGGTCAGGTTATCATTGCGTTTGAGTGTGCTATATAAGGGCCTCACATTAGATGTTGTTCAAGATGGAATGGTATGTTATGATATTTATTGGTAACAAAATGAAATATTATCTCCCGTTAAACTTTTGTGTCACTTCTTGCATTGACCTCTTTGTTTGCTGGCCGAGTGGATTTGTTTAGTAACTGACAGGGTTACGTTTGATCCAACAATCATTAGCTTTTCATTATCTGGTCTTCTAATTCTTTTATATTATAACATAAAAATATGGCCATCGCTTTCTCAATACTTGGTCTTTAAAATCAATGGCTCAAACTCAATAAGAAAATAAGTATCAACCATGAGCAGTTAAAAACTTGGTTTGATCAGCTTACTTTAATCCCTATTTGAGTTTTTTTATCAGCTTTTTTTTTGGTCCGAGCCTGAGCTGAAGAGAAGTTAAACCCTAGGAAGTAAAGTATAGTAGTTATATAATATACTATTATTTATGTATTTAATGTATAATATATTTATCTATAATTCAAAATGTGCTATGCTATGATTGGACTGTCTTTGGGTCAGGTTTTGGCTTAGCTCAGAAATGGTATGCTAAAATTAGGCACAGTTTTTGCAAGCCTAAGTATGCCCTGCTTTGGCCAAGGTTGCACCGCCAAACTCAAAACTATTTACATGTTGTAGCCTGCAATATTTGATTATACATTTGAACGCGCATCCTACTCAATCATGATTTTTATTTAGTATCAATCTAAGGTACTTCCTTTTTCATTTTATTTTCCAAAGCCTTTTCAATTTCATGAATGTGAGTATATTGTATCCCCAACTAGTAGGTCCAATATCATAATGGGAGCACTCTTTTATTCAATCATGCACATACAAGCATAAACTATTTTGTTTACATTCTCCATATTATTTCATATTGAAATGTAGTAAGCATTATATGACATGTGATAAGCGACCTCACTATGATATAAAATTCATGCTATCTAATTCAACATGATCAATTGCCTTTACTAGATATAATTCATAGAGCATTAATAGTAGGTATTTAAATAATAATAGCACTTGATGCGTCATATTTAGAAGAAACAAATATTGTTACCGTAAATTAGAACATAATACTCACCTCGAATTTAGATGATTGGCTTTTCGTCACTTTTTAGTCCTTACTCTGGCTCCATTTGTTGATCACCTATAATCACATATAATTTCATAAAAGTATCTTAATTTGTATATCTAGTAATATCTCTCTTATTAACACTCATTTTTTGTTAAAGACAATATCTTTAATTCATTCATTTTCTATTAAAATAATTAATTATTTCCAAAATTTATAATAATATAATAATTCATTAATAATGAAATTTAGTCTTCCTCCACTCCCCAACTATCTCTCAAAATATATACACTTATCACTTTCTGATAAAAAAATTTGGATCATGTTAAATTTAGAGAATTGGAGAGTAAAAAGGCTTAATTTTGTTGCACAAAATTATCTCTATTTATAGATCTATACATTATATCTTAATAAAGAAACAAATGATTAGAAAATCATGCATAATTGTTCTAATATAATCCTTCCTAAATCATCCAACCAAATATTGAAGGAGATCGGCGTGATCCAGGTGAGCCTCCCATGGATTCTGATAGGAAATACTCGTTTGCACAAGTAAACCTAACCCAAATCAAGTACCTAAGCCAAGTAAACTGCTGTCCGCAGCAAGAACACAGCTCAAACAGTGAAAAACTGAGAGAAAACGTAGGGAGAAACGTAGAAAAATGATGCAAACGCTTTTATTTCAATAAAGGATGAAAAGCACTTGCAAGATACAACTTTCCTTCAATTCAAGAGGAAGGAAAAACTCTCCAACGATCTTCGGCAATGCCAAGAGCCCAAGAACAACAAACCCTAGATCTCCCAAGAAATTCAAAATCAAGTTAACCCTAATTTCCCCCTCATCTCCCTAATTAAACATGAAAGGAGGATTACAAAAGACCTAATTACCCCCATCTAATTCAAATTTTCCCTCCCAAACGACTCCACGTAGGCTCCCTGGGTTTTCCGCCCCCTCCCTGTTCGCGCGGCTTCCGTCGGGTGAAGACCTGGACCGGTCCAGCCGGCTCAGGTGCCGGCCTAACATTACCCCCTCCCAAAGTACCACCTTGTCCTCAAGGTGGAAAGCAGGAAACTGCTCTGTAATCCTCTCCTGTGGCTCCCAGGTGGCCTCATAGTCAGGGAGGCCGCTCCACCTAATCTTCACCTCCTTTTCCCCCTTCTCATTGATGCGCACTCCTTCTACCGCTAGAGGCTCCAATGTCACTTCCATGTCCTCCTTCAGTGTGCTGGGTAGCTCTGGGCTCACTGCATGCTCCCCCATCACTTTTCTCAACTGTGAGACATGAAAAACGAGGTGTATTCTGGCTGTTGGAGGAAGCCTCAATTTATAGGCCACCTCTCCAATTTTCTCCTCCACTTCAAAAGGGCCAAAATATCTTGCTGCAAGCTTCTCATTTCTCCTTTGGGCCATAGTCCTCTGTCGGTATGGTCGGAGCTTCAAATA